CGACTGGCAGGGACAGATACCTCCGAGTTCCGTTTCCTCTTTAGTTAAATAGTAGTTTAATGTGAACACAAAGCACAGATTCACCCGATRACGTCTGGACGGCTGGGACATGCCAGGACTGCTGGCACTGGGGCCTATGAGGCAGACACAGCCCCTCCTGCCTTCAGGGGTGGACACTCCAGAGCCATAGGGCACTTGAATGTGGCCAGTCCACCCCTGAGGTGGGCAGAAAACAGACCAATCTCTGAGACTCAATGAAAAAAAGATTGTGTCTTACTAATACTTTATATTGATCACATGTTGAAATACAATTTTGGACATATTGGRTTATATAAAATTTATTCATTAAAATTAATTTCTCTGACTTACTTTTTAATGTGGCTACTAAAAAAAATTGCAAATTTCATATGTGGTTCTCATGATATTTCCAGGGGTGAGAAGATACTCAACTGATTAAAATACATTACTGAATGTACACAGGCGACATACGTCTAATTATGCATCGAATGAAACAGCAGGTATAAGGAAGAACAGGGCCCACTGGGGTGGGAGGCAGGACTACGTTGCGAGGGTCAGTCTGCCTGGCCACCATGCGGGACCCTCAATGGCACGTCTCACACGAGATTCTCAAAGTCCTGGAGGCTGCAGGTCTGAGGCCAGGGCGTGGGCAGGGCTAGCTCCTCCTGAGGTCTCTCTTCTTGACACACAGATGGCCTCGTCTCCCTGTGACCTCATGTGGTCATCCTTCTGTGCATCTATGTCCTCATCTCCTTGTATAAGGACCCCAGTCCGATTAGACTAGGGCACCCTGGTGACCTCAATTGCCCTAATTATCTCCTTAAAGGCCTGTCTCCAAATACAGTCACATCTGAGGTGTGGGGGACTTCAACCCATGAACTTGGGKGATATGGTGGAGCCCATCACTGAGGACTAGTCTGGTGAGGATGTGTTTGAAGGGCCTCCAACAAGAGAGGGTAGATAAGACCCAGGCAGGGATGGCGTGGGTGTGCTCATGGCCCGTGGAGGAGTCCGGTCCTCAGAAACAGCCACCGCTAAAAACCAACCAGAGAGACCACTGTCTGCCCCCTTGGAACGGCCCCAGTGCACGGTGCAGGGCAGTGAGTGGGGTCAGGTCCATAAGGAGAAGGTTCTCGAGCAAGACGTTTGCTTATTTGATCCTAGAAATTAGCTTTCATTTGCTTGCTTTAAAATACAGTCACATAAATGGTTCAGAACTATGGACTCACTGGAAGGAGCTGGAAGTTTTGCTTGAACAGATTCTGGTGTGAGACGTGGTTCTCAATGAGACTTCAGGGTTTGGGACGCAACGAGAAAACCCAATGCCATAGATGGGCGATGATTTCATGGCAAATTTCCAAGACATATTGTTAACTGAGGAAAAGCAAGCAGCAGATCTAAACACAGTTATTTTAAAAACTACAAACACAATCAGAAGAAACACATCCAGATCTTCACACGTCCATATGTTCCATGTGCAAATCCACCCACAAGGCAGAGATCTGGGATAGGGCCAGAGGAGGGAGGGGGCTTTTCTTTTAACTCTACATTTCTCCTGTACTGTTGGGAGTTTATTCTGTTTTAATGTTAAAATGCATAACAATTATGTAAAGAGAAGAGAGAAAAGAAATATAAACTACAACAGATGGGAGGCTGGGCTCGCTGGTGACTGCACTGGGCGTCCATCATCGCTGGCTTTTGCTGTGTGAGTTTGGTGAGGCCATCTGCCTCTCTGGACCTGAAGCAGAAATTTAAGCAGTGCATCCTGATGGTGCAAGCATGCATGAGCCCACATGTGCGGGTCACATTCATGCTCACAACACACACACACACGTGCACACAAACATGTGCCAAGGTGCATATGTGCAGGCRTGAACACTCGTGCACCCACATGATCACAAGGCACACTCAATCACACATGCATGTTCCTGGGCAAGCACAGCCACACACATACATTCTTGCTTGCACATGCATACACACTCCTGCGTATGTGCATGCATATACTGGTCACGTGTACACAGGCATGGCAACATGTGCACACTTGTGTGTACAYACATGTGAACACACACTCCTGGGGGCACAGCCCTACCAAGCCCCTGGTCCTTAAGGGGAAATGGGTCAAGGGTGACTCGGGAGCTGGGGATCGGCTAAATCTGCAGCTAGGACTGCTGGGTTGGAGTCCAGCCTTGACCGTGGGGGTCCCTGCCTTTCCACCCTTGTCTTTGAGCCCTGATGTGACCTGACTTACAGTATGATGGGGTGGGGGCAACTCAACCATGGGAAGGAGCTCTGTGAATCGGGAAGCTTCAATCAGGTGAGCTCCACAAATCTGAATGGGGGTCCACACACCTGGTCTACTGAAGCAGGTTCTGACAGTGACATTTGGGGACTGCACCTGTGCACCCACCTTTTTGAGCAGCCCGGCTAAGGTCCTGGAGTGTACTAGAAGCTGGAAAAAACCTAGCAATTCGCTTCCTTGCTCACTCTGGGCTAAGCAGAGTAACTAGCCTGCRGTGCCTGGCTTGGCTGTCCTGGGCTGGGCACAGCGGGAGGCTGGCAGGGTCGCACTGGGTGGGCAGCCAGGGTCCCCAGGAGGCCCCAGCAGGCGGCGCTGTCCTCCTGGCCCGGGGAGCAGAGGAGYCCTGGACTCGCAAATCCTGTTACATCCTGGCAATTACAGTTTATCGCTGCGGCACTAATCCCTTAAAATTAGTCATTAGCAGCTTAAGAACCATTTAGCGTCGGCGCCTACTAAGGAGCTGGAGGAAGCCAGGGATCTGCCAGACCCAGAACTTTCCCTGGCCTGSATGCCGGCCGGGGGCTGGGCAGGAACCGAGGCCTGCAGGTGCCCACCACTCCTACTTCACTTCCTCCCCACCTGGCARGTGCAGGAAGAGGTGGGACAAACTCCAGTGGCAGATGGATCCTTCAGCCTGAGACACGTGACCAGGGACCTGGGTTCTCCTGGCCTCCCCAGACATGCCCCGGGGCTGGGCTGCTCTGCCCCTTCTGCCTCTGCCCAGGAAAACCATGAGATGGAGCAGCTGTTGGCAGAGTGCCTGGGGTGGGCGGGTTGGGCCTGGTGGGAGCTCCTCAAGGGGGAGATGAGCAGGGCAGGCCAGTCCCTGGACCCGGAGACCTCTGGCTGGGAGGGAGGAAGTTGGGGAGACTAAGGCAGGAAGGAGGCCTAGGCTGGGACTCTCATGAGGTCRCACTTGGAGAAGGGGCCCTGTGGCCTGTTAGCTGTCTAGGATCCACTGATTCTACCTAAGCTGAGGTGGGAGGTGACGGCAGGTGGCCCAGGCCAGCCAGCTAGAAGGTTGGGGCAGGGACCCTGACTCTTGAAGTGACAGTGGCTTGGGAACAGTTGGTGGAGTCCCATGGCTATGTGCCTGTGGGTTCCAGAGGCTGCGTATCTGGTGATGAGTCCTGATGGGGCTGTGGGTCCTCAGCTTCTACCCCAGATTCAGCAAATTCCATTCTTGCCCTGGTTGGTTGGGATGCAGCTCTGGCCTCGTCTCCAAGAACATCAGCTTGGAGGTCCTGACTGATTTGTTCCCTGGAACGAGACATGCGTGCATACATACACATGCACACGTGAAAAACGTGCACRYGCATGCGCATACACACACGCACACACACACACACACCCTGCAACAGCTCCTGGGCCAAGGATTTGTGTCAGGTTCTGCTCTGAGCGTTTTGGCACTGCTGGTGGCTCCCGGGCTCARCTGATTCACTCATAGGTCACAGGTCCAGGCCTGGAGGTGGGAGAGCTGGGCCTGCTCCTGGCCTGGCCCTCTGCCCCATGTCTCCACAGGACATGGGGCCCAAGGACACTATGGAACCCCCCTTACTACCCCATGGTGGCTCTGGGGCTCCTGAGTGGAAGGCCAGCAGGCAGCACAGAGCTGGGGCCCATGGCTCACCCAGGGAGGGATGCAGAACACCCTGTTCCTCAGCATCTTCGGAACCTGAAACAAAGCAGAGCATACAGGAGGTGCYCAATTACTGTCCAAATGAGACAGTGAGTGACTCCACTGGGGCCAGCCTGAGAGGCCCCAGCAAGGGGTTTTCTTTTACAACTCCAGGCCCTGAGCATGGTAGCTGGTGGCCCTGGGTAGGCRTGGCTCAGGGCTGAAGGCTGTTGCCACTGTTGCCCTCACTGCCACCATCTGTCCATAGACCGTACTGTGGTGGCACAGCAGGGGACTCCCTCACAGTCCCCAAGCTCCTGTTTGGCTGGTGTGGGTGCTGCTGGCCTACCCAAGCCTGGTCTGGCTCCCATGTGACAGGCTGGTCCATAAGGGCAGGATCCCCCAATCCCTGTGTCCCAGAACCTTGGCCACATAGGATCTGSTGCCAGGCCCATGGACAGGAGGAAGCTTGGAGCTGAAAGGACAGATGCCTGCCAGCCAAAGGGACAGGGCTGGCCAGAGCCTACGGGAGGGAGTGGTCACCAGCGCTCAGCAGGAGAGGGAGGAGGGTGGGGGCAGGGCGGGCCTTGGCCACTCGGCTCTGACCAACCCTGAGTGCTCGCTGTGTGCAGGGGCACACCTCTAACCTCCTGGTGAGGGACTGTCGTGGCTTACAGGTAAGGAGGGAGACTTAGAGAGGGCGAGACACTTGGATAAGGTCTCAAAGCCATAGGTAACGGAGCTGAAACCAGGCCTGGGGGTGCCTGGCTCCAGGGCCTCACTCTCGGCCACCTCAAACACACCCTTCCTCCTCACAGCCAGGCGCACATCCCACCAATGCTTGTGACCCCAGGCTCCAGAGACAGGCCACAGCTGCGTGAACAGCAGGTGTGGCTGCCAAAACCCCTCCTCCAGAGCACACTGCCCGACGCCTGCTGGGCCTGGACCTAAGTGGAGACCATCTCTGCTGTTGGGGAACACAGCAGTGGCCATGGACCTCGCAGCGCGGAGCCAGGAAGCGTGGGCCTCAGACGCAGAGCCAGGTGTTGGGAAGATGGAGGAAATTTTATTTCACAAGGTGACAAATTGGGCTCCTTGCTTCAGGCCAATGGCCAGGCTCCAGGACAGATAGGACTCTGAACAGCACAGCATCGGGGTCAGGTGGCTGGTGTGAGGACATCTGAGGAGAGGGTACGGAGGTGCCACCGAGCAGCTCCCTCAGGCCTGACTCTAGAGCAGGGTGCAGTGGCAGGAGGGAGATGGGGACCTGGGTAGACACTGTCCTCTCCGGGCAGGTGCTGTGACAGAGGAGGCAGGGCAGGGCCAGCACCTTCCTGGTTACTTCATCACTGCTGTCAGGGGTGTGAGGCAGAGCTGGAGGCCCAGGCACGCCGTACATCACGGTCTGGCCCGGGGCTTGGGGCTTGGGGCGCCATGCCGGCCAGCACTGGCTGCGGTCAGGCGGCGGGCTAGGCTGCGGTCTGGCGGCTGAAGAGGTCGAGGGTGAGGGAGCTGAGGAAGGCCGGGATGCTGTCCTGGCGGAGCAGGTGCAGCTCGATGAGCTCCGGCACAGAGCGCGAGAACTCGGTCTCCAGCAGCTGCATCTTGGAGCCCGAGGGTCCCGTGGCCTGCAGGCGGGAGAGATGGGACAGTCAGTGATGGTCAGCAGGCAGTCTGCCCTACCCCCCATCCCCCTCCAACAACAGGGGTGGACAGGGAGGGGACACAGCCTTCAGGCATGGGGTGGGGGGAGGTTGGGTCAGGCAGGTGGGCCACAGGCTGCTGTCCCCAGCAGCTTCCCTCAGTCTGTGCAGCTGGGCCAGAGAGGGACCTTCCTGCCAGAGAGGCCTGGTTCAAGGTCACCAGCAAAGAGGGCTGAGATTTTACACCAGGAAGGCCGGCCCTTGGGCTCCTCCAGGCATGGAGGGCAGGGTCTGTCATCTGGACAGGCAGCAGGGTGCCTGGGGGCTACCTTTGCACCAGCCACTAGGCTCCAGTCCCACCTGTGGCTGGCTGGGTGGCTAGGTGGCTGGGGCTGGGGACCTGAAGACCTGTGTTTCTCGACCCAGGGCAAGCCCTAAGAATCTTCCAGACTGCAGGGTGCTGCGGCCTTGAGCGAGTGGCTCCCTGCCCAGCCTGGTTCCCAGACTTGAGCCTGGGGCCTGGAGTCCCCCTCCAGCTGCCTGGGGCCGGGAGGGGAGGGGTGCCAGGCAGCGGGAGGACCCAATGGGAGCTGGTCCTGGCTCCAGGGACTCTGCAGCCCAGAAAGGTCCTTTCTACTGCTTCCTTATGTACATGTCACTTCTAACCAGGAGAAGGCCATGAGGGTCTGTCACCAGTGATCTGGGGGAGACTCGAGACAGGATAGATGTTCCAAATACTGAGCTACAGTGGGGACGAGGGCAGGACCCCTCTGGAACAAAGGGGGAGACAGAAGCACAGAGAGCTCGGTTCTGCCCATAGTACTTGGTAGGTCTGGGAACACTGCCCTGGCACTGTCCTGGAACACAGGCTGGGGCACCTGGGCTGGGTAGGGTGGACAGAGGCCCTAGCTGGCAAGGGGCTCCAATGCACCCAGGCACTTCTGGAGAGGGACTGGCATTGCCTACTACCCCTGCCCTCACTAGACCCTGTCCTGGGAACTCCCTGTCAACACGCCCAGGCCCACAGCGACCAGGCTGAGTAAGGGCCATCTGTGTCGTGCAGAGCTCTTACCACTCAGCCCGAGACAAATGGCCCAATTAAGAACTGGGTGAAGGGTGTGAGTGGACATTTTCCCCAGGAAGATGCATAAATGACCAATAAGTAGATGTGAAGCACCAATCCCGAGGGACACGTAAGTCAGAGCCATGGGGAGCCCCAACTCCACACCCATTAGGGCCGCCACAGTAAAAAAGACAAATGTGCACTGAGGAAGGGGAGAAACCAGAACTTTCTGCACTGCTAGAGGAATATAAATGACTCAGTGACCACGGAGGTCTGGGGATCCCTCAGAGTGGCCATGTGACCAGCAACTCTACTCCAGGTGTGCAGCCAAGGAACTGGACACGTGTCCACATGGAGATGCCACATCATTGTCACAGCAAGATTATTCTTAACAGTGAAAATGTGGAGGCCATTGCTGACAAAGGGACAAAGTGGTGTGTCCACCAAGGGAACACTGTGCTGCCACAGCAAGGAAACGGAGCACGACGTGAGCCACACGGGAGGGGTCTGGAAACACTCCAGGCCAGCCCCGAGCATGTGTGTGTCCCACCCGGGCCCGAGGAGGAAGGTGCAGGTGCAGGGTGGGGGTGGGTGTAGGTGGGGTGCCTGCTGGGCACCTGACTCCTTGGTGGGGAGATGGAAATGCTCTGGGAATAGGTTGGTGACCACTGGGCACCATGAAGATGCTGGAGAGATCCAAATGTGCACAGCAGTGGGTGAAGCGCATGGTACCCGGATGTCTCCATGACACATTTCTTTTTAAAAGCTCCTTTCTGCCCAGCACCCCTACGGTGCCTTCCCTGGGAGCTTCCTGGGGAGGCAGTTGCCCGGTGGGTCCTGGCAGTGCCTCCTTGAGGAGCTCACATGGGTGCTCCAGTGTGGGGCCCACCTACCAACTAACTCCTCACCTGGGTGAGGGGACCTGGGGGCTGTGGGCAGTGCCCTCCTCCACGGTCACCTAAATATGACTGGGCGGTCTGGCTTTGCCCCCAACCCCTGTGTGACCTGTGCCCAGCCCTCAGTCAGCCTGCACCCCCGCATCCTGCCGGCCCTCAGCTGCCCATCTAGCTCGTTACCTGCACTTTCCTGATTTCTTACCTGGGCCGACCCCAGCCCTCCTCCTGTTCCGGTGCCCTATTAATACATTTAGCCTTGTCATAGTTCAACACAAACCATTTTTAAACAAAAATAAGAGAAACCACTCTGACCTTTTACCAAGAAAATCCTTTCATTTCTGCCTTCTGCTCTTGATGCTGAATGTTTTCCCCTAAATGTCAGCGGGGCTGACTCTCCGGCAGCTGTCGGGGGGCGCGGGGAGCTGCAGGGCTGGGTGCGGGCGGGAGCAGGTTGGAAAGGATCTCAAGTTCCCCTACCCAGTACCCAGGTGTGGCAATCAATGTCCTCCGGGTGCCATGCCTTCCCCAGTCCCTCCCCAGGTCCTGGTCATTCTGCATTTGAGACAGCTGTCACAACTCTAGCTCTGAGGATCGGGAAAGAGCTAGAAGCCCATCAGGTGCCCCCAGCTCCACCGGCTCATGGCACAGCCTCCTGTGGGCCGGGCAAGGGGCCTGGCTGCTCCTTTCAAGCATTCTTGGGAGAAGGAGGCCACCTCAGACTGCCCTGTCCTCCAAGTCAGCGCAGAGGGCAGGAGCAACCCATGCCATCCTCAGCAAACATCCCAAATAAAGGCAGTTCCACGAGTGTAAAACACCAGCCTCCAACAAGCCGTGGCCATCCTGCAGTCCCCAAGGGGCCGCACCCATGGCTGGCCCCCGGGCTCTCAGCATTGCATCCCCCTCCCCGTACCCCTGTCCTGCCCCACACTGGCAGGGGGCCACCTCCTCACTCAGATGCGCCTGGGCAGCCACCACGTCTTATCAGAATGTGCAGATTGAATTATGCCCTGCCGATCAATCTCTGCTCAGCCTCTGCCATGTTCAAATACCACCCGGTCCCCAGGTGCCTTGTAAATCACCATAATTAGGGGCTGTTCACTTAAAATTAGAGCGCAATTTTTTAAAAAGCAAATTGCCCAGTAAGACGTGTTGGCTGTGTCTAGAAATATTTATGGGCTGTCTATGTGCTGCCTCTGGCTTCTCTCCCCTCTCCCTCAGTGCTGGGAGGAACAGGCAGCCCTGTGGCAGCGGGCGCCTGGGGGAGGCCTGGGCAACCGGCCTTGACCAAGACGCTTCACTGCCCAGCAGAAGACAGACCTGCCTGGCCTTGGGGCGGGTCTGCCTGAGACCTCYGGCCCAGGCCTGGGAGGCCACGCTCTGGCCGCCGCGGCGCAGATGCAGGTGCAGGAGGGCTGAGGCCAGGGGGCGAGGGGTTCCGCACTCTAGTGAGAAATGTGTGCCCATGATACAGGGGCTCGTTACTTCTAGCCTCGCCACCCCAGGCTTGATGGTGTCCCCACTAGTGTACACAACAGGTGCTTCACAGTGCTCCTTCGGCAAAGGGGCACCCTGGAGGAAAATGGCTGGGGCTGATGGAGACCCTCGGAGAGCAGAGGCGAGACATCCCTGTGTCTTCCGCCTCTCTGACTGCAGTGGGGTGGGCAGAGGCGAGTGCAGTGCCAAGTTCCCATTGAGGGCAAGGGCACCTTCTGCAGAGGCAAGAGTGGAAGTTCCATAAATGAAGAAACCCCATGGAGGGGGAGGCTAGAGATAAAACCCTCTGCCCCGCGTGGGCCCCGAATCCTGACTCAAACAAGCAAAGCTGAACCAATACACTCACATCCTAAAACACTCAGGGAAAGTAAATCCTACCACTTCAAGATGGTGGTGGGGGGTTATTTTAGGTGACAGTGGGACAGTGGTTAGGTCAGCAGAATGTCCCCATGGCGTCTTGAGGTGGCTGACTCCAGTGAAGAGCAGTGGGTCCCAGCTCAGCTGGGGCACCTTGTGTCAGGAAGTACAGATGTGCTCAAYAAGGGCGCACAGAAGGGTGCAGGAACCAGAGTCAGTAAGAGAGACAACAGGAAATCCTTAAACACGGGAAGATTAAAGAACCCACTTCCAGAGCCCAAAGACCAAAGCGGAAGTCTCAGAGGAAATAAAACATACACAGAATTGAATGAAAATTAAAAGGTAATGCAGCGAATGCTAGTGGGATGCACCCCAGGCAGCGCTCGGGAGATGGGAGACCAAAATGCTCACAGGAAACACCTCGAATCAGCAAGCGGAGGTCCTGCTGAGAGCAACAGGGGAGGGTGGGGCGGGGGTCTTGGGGGGAAGCAAAACAAACCCACGCCTGCAGGAGGAGCAGGAAGGACTGCAACCAGGAGCTGGGCCTTGGAAGAAGCAATAAGACGGGTCAAGCTCTTGCAAGAGCGGTGCAGAGGGATGACCGGCTCTGGAAGCCCACAGCAGACCTGAGGCTGTCTGAGGAAAACCAAAAACCTGCAGGTTCATGGATTTGACAAGTTGGAGGAGTGAACTGATTCCCTGAAAGACCACAAACTACCCAAACTGAGCCAGGGTGAGAGAGATGACCTGATCAGTTCTATACCCACTAAAAAAATTCATTTGTAATTAAAAAGCTCCTGAAAAGCCCTCTCCAGTCCCAGATGGCTTCACCAGAGATTTTTATTTGAACATTTAGCTAAGAATAAATATCATTTCCATAATCTCTTCCAGAAAACAAGAGAGGAAATACATCTTCCCTCACTAATCCAGTGTCCAAACTGGCAAAGATGGCGTATGCATGCGCACATACACTTCTGCACACACTCACACATATACACACTCTTGCATAAACATACACACATACACATATACATGCAAGCATAAGTGAATACACACATACATAAAAATATACAAATATATACATGCACACACAGATGCACATCAATACACACACACATACACAGAAGCAAGCAGACCAGTATCACTCATGAGCAAAACTCCTCAGCATATGCAAT